TGGATGGGGAGGGAGGGAGGGAGGGAGGGAATTGTGTGGTTGCATCTTCAGAAGCGTTCCCAATCTTGGATTTGTTTTCTTTATCAGGTGATGGGGAAGGCTGTCTCTGCACATTATACAATTCTTTGAAAAAGGGTGACAGAGACAGATAACAAGAACAACCATCTTGGGATGGTGACACATTTATTTTTTATAATAATTAAGTTAGGACAACAAAATCTGGGAGAGATTTTTTAAAAGAACAGTTGAACGGTACCCACTGCAAGTAGGCCTATGCCACCACTCCTTGCAAGAACTTTTTCAAGAGATCTGACAAGCACTGGGACCCCTGTCTAGGACGTGGGATCCTGCAAGATCTTTCCTCTTTAGAGTACAGAGCCTCTATTCCCTCAACCACCATGTAAGCTGATGGTGCCAGATCACAAAATGAATAAGAAGCAGATATGCTACAGCCAGGACCTAAATGAAATGGGGAAGGTAGGAGGTAGTTAGAGGTTAATCACCCTTTGGTCTCTTCTTAGGAGTCATATGACCAGAAATCTCCAGTCCTTACTGCTTCTGAAGGCCATGCATTCCCACTTTTCATGTCATGTCATCACTAGTAAAGTTGGGCAGGATTAGCTATTTCAAGAATCATATGCATTTACACAGCAGGCTAAGCCACAATAGCTGGATTCATGCAACGTGCTAAGTTGAAACCAAGCAAACCCTGTGATGGCTCGGCCCAGTGTATGAATCCGGTGCTATAGTTTCCTGCCTGCAACAATCTGTCAGAATTGGTACGTTTAAGCATCACTTGATCTTTAACTGAAGAATTAAAAATTATTTTAAAGTCATTCATACTGATTGAAGACAGCAAGGAAAAACATCAAATAAGTTCCATCAACTAAAAAATAATTCTTATTCTTGCAAGCTCCCAAAGACAGGCAAGCTACTACTGCATAGGAAAAATAATTTAAACATCTTTTTTGCGTATTTGTGCTACAAGTACCCTTCCTCCTGACTCTTGCAAAGAAACATTTGAAAGATGACTTTTCATACTCAGAAGGTCAAGCAAGCAGAACTTTAGCTTAGGGAATGGGAGGAGAGATTATGTATATGAGGATACTCCAGGCGTCTTCCATGAATATTTGTGTTACATTTTTAAGATCTTTTCTTTTTCTTTTCTCAAAGGAAAAACAGACAGGCAGGATTTTATCCAATAGCTCACTAATCTGCTGCCTTCTAGCCACTGACTCCAAAAGCACTAGGATATTTTAAAATGTATGTTTGTCAGATGTACAAAATGCAAACGGTATTGTATTCATTTTAAGGCAACTTAAATAACAATATTAAACATATTAAGCTACCTGTGCTTAGCCCTGGCCATTCTGCATTTACTCCCTCCCTTTCAAGCCCACCCCTGTCCATCCACCTCCCCTTCTGCCTTTTCACTAGCACCTGCCTAGCTTTAGGCCTGCAAATGAGAAGGGGAGATAGAACTGGTTTTCCGCCTGGCTGGGAACTGCCACAAACAGAACCCGTCAGGCTGTTGTTAGCCCATACGGTCCAGATAAATACGCCCTTCCAGCCAGTGCAGAGGAGGCATTCTTCTTGCCACAAGGGATTTGCTGGGCCCTCCTCAAACAAGGTTTGCCTGGGTGAGTTTAGTCAGGCAGCAGGAGTCACACATACAATGATTAACTTGCAGGCCCATGGCAGACGCTATAGGGAGTTAATCAGCGCCTGCACTTGACTTACGCTCCGGGTTTTACCTTAATGACTGTGAGCCCAGTCTGTTCTGAAGCCACTTTCTTCCCTTATTTAAACAGAGCAGCTTTTTTTTTCATGATTTCTGTTTTGTTTCTAAAGAACCCGTATTCTGTTCCTAGTTTGCCTGGGAACACAGCTGGGCAAGCACTGGCTGCACGAGATGCCACTGAGATGTTTGCTCAGAGATTCTTGGGGAAGCAGCACAGACAACTTAGGTGCAGCTAGAATGCTTTCCAGGTGGTCTGCCCCAACTCCGGACAAAAACAGACCTCAGTGGGCCTACTAAGGTTTGAGAAAGGTTTGGGGCAAGAAGGGAAGCGGAAGTCCACGCACGTGCATGATTGCTCTTGGCTTTGTTTTCACTTCCCTATGGTGCTGTTTGCCCATGATGGAAAAGTATCTAAATGAAACATGGCACGACCCCAGCTGTTGATGGCCAGAGTTATGCAAATGACTCCAATGATGTTCATAACAATTCCAGTTTTAACCTGAGGGGGAGAGAAAACAAGAAAGCAATGTAAAGTCCAAAGGTTCTGCAGCTCATTCACAGGGTAGGTGAGAGGAGGAGTCACGTCAGATTATGATGTTTTTATAACCAGAAGGGAACCACCCCATTGTCCCTGTTCCAAGAATACAATGTGCTTTGCACATTCTGGGAAATTCCAAAGAACAAGATAAACCCAACAGCCTCCCCTTCCAGGGAAAGATGGCCATTTGGAACTTGCACCACTAGATAGCAGAGTCATTGGGGGAATCGTAGCATTGGACCTTCTGAATTTCTCACATATAAACTAGGCTCAAGATTTAGCTGAGCCTCACTATTACCCAAGATTGTTCAAATGAACAGAGATATATACCTATTTTATTTCAAAGAAAAAAAGAATCTGATGCTTCTGAATAGCAGGAATAGCACGGATAAGCTGCTGTGGGATAGGTTGGGAGCATTTGATCCATTCTGTCACTGCTTGTTCCTAATTTGATTTCTGTCTTCAAAGTGGGAGTTACAACACTGGTTTTATGGGAACTGCAATGTTAGAATGCATACATCACTGAACAGCCACTGAGCTTTCTGGTGCTAACAGTAGTTTATTTATATCCTGCTTTATAGGAAGTAAAAGATGGTATTTCAACATAGCTCTAAATTAGTAGTAGGAATGCCTCAAAACTTACACTTGGACACCAAATTGAAACTGTAGCTTTACATTTCAAAATAAGGATAAATCCAATCTTTTCACAACATCTGGTTTGTGTAAGTCTACATTCCAGTAGAAGAAAATTCTCTCCAGCTTTACAGAAACTGCCTGTTGTGTGAGCCTCTGCATACAACAAGGGTGCACAGCTTTTTCTGAGGGACACACAAGGCCTTTGAGTGGTGTGCTGAGAGACACAGTCCAAAAAGAAAGCAAGATGCAGGATGAAAAATGCACTTTAGTTGAGCCAATTAAAACCAAAATGTAATGGGAGCACAACACCTAGCCCACTGTAGCTGATATTGAAAACCAAACCAAAATCAGATCTGGCTATTATTTCAATGGAAGACCAGCAAAAATCCCAGGAATGTAAATTAGACTGAAAAGTTTTTTTAAAAAAGAGCTTCATTTCTATATTCCTGCCAGTTGGACATATTCTTGAAGTTACTATGGCATTATTAACACAAAGGAAACTTACGCTGAATTACAGTATAAACCTGATAACTCAATCCCCCTCAATCAAATAAAAAAATTACAGCTTGGTGACTGTGTTTGATTGGCCCCCAGGATGTAGGGAATACCTCCACTTAGGAAAAAAAAATTGTCTTCTTTTTAAAAGCTAGGATATGGAAGCCTCTGTTGAAAACAAAACTGCCAGCTTACCATGTCAAAAACGTGGAGATGGCCATACGAGAACACGATGGCATTTGGAGGGGTTGCTACAGGGAGCATGAAGGCAAAGGAAGCACTGAGTGTGCATGGGATCATGATGTACAGAGGATTGACTTCAATGGACTGTGACTAAAGAGAGAGAGTGGGAAAGAGAAGAGAGAAGCATTTACGGTATTGAACTGATGTGTGGAAAGACATGCGGGTCTGGGGCAGCAAAGGAATGTTTCAGAGGTCCCCACCATCTGCTTATCCATTCCAAACCACCTCCAGAGCAGAGACACAACATAATGGAAACAGTTGGTGGGGCTGGCCAAGGATTTTGTACTCTTTTAAGAGGCTGTGACAGGGAGCCAAGGTTGAAAGTTCAGTCTTCAGGGGATCAGCTGTGTCTTCAGTGACCAGATTAATGTATATTGGGCTCTTGACTGCCACACCAGAAAGAAAACATCATAATTTCAGCAGCACAAGTTGTCCCATAAGAGTGTAGCCTTGGTATAAGAAGCTGTTGGGCAGAATCGTTGTGGTATTAAACAACTCTCCAACAGGTTTCAGTGCAATTCAAGTGTAGCTCCTTCCACAATTCTAAACAAAGGACCTCTTTCCAAGTTGGGACTCCTGAAACCAGCAACTTCTACATCAAAAAATACAGCCCTCCCCTCAACACAGTCTTCCTACAGAATAATAGTTGCTGCAGTTACCTTGCAATTTGACAGTGTGGTCAAATTGTACTGAAAAAACAAAGCACATTCTAGGGCAACTGCTCCGAGAAAGATTTTCTCCATATACAAATGAAGGAGGCATAAATATTTAGTCATCAGCTCAAAAACTCCCTCAACACTTCTGTCCTTTCTTTTTTTATTGTCCCTTCTATTGGAACCTGCCTTACTCCCTTGTTCCTCCAAATTTCTCTGCAATAATATTGTTCTCATGGCCATGCTGATTCAATCCCCTATTCTAACATCCTGTTCTGTGGTTGTATTCACATAACATGTTTCACCTGGTTTCTGAATTAACCCATTGTCTGAGCTTGCACACACACTGAGCCATAAACTAACTAAATTTCATACAACATGCTACATCACAAAAAACTAACCACGGTTATCTTGTTGTAGGAATGCAACTGCTGGCTTATCTGGTTAACTGATCTGGTTCTAAATGTATTGTG